ACTTCTTCTTCTTCTTCTTCTTCTTCTTCTTCTTCTTCTTCTTCTTCTTCTTCTTCTTCTTCTTCTTCTTCTTCTTCTTCTCCTCCACCTCCTCCTTCTTCTTCTTTTTCTTCTTCTTCTTCTTCTTCTTTACATGTCAGGTCTGACGCCGACATTGGCGATCATGCTAGGATATCCCATTACTTTCTCTTTTCAGTCCTGCTGATCAGCTCCATAGCACCAGGTCTATAACAAAAGACTGTCGGACAAAACCTGCCACGCACAAGCTTGGAAAAGATTGATCATGAAAAATCAGAATTCTCTTTTGTTCTCTCCCCTGTTTGTTTCGTTGCCCATAACACGTTTGTAGCCAGCAAGCAAATGCCTGCCAAGACAGTCTTATAGATTCTTATATATGCGTGTACATGGAGAGAGAGAGAAAGAGAGAGAGAGGGAGAGAGAGAGAGAGAGAGAGAGAGAGAGAGAGAGAGAGAGAGAGAGAGAGAGAATAATAAAATCCTAATGCTCAATACATGTTGTACTAGCTTCGAAATCGAGCAACAACAAAAAAAAAGAACATAAAATCCAAACGCTGAATACGTCATGTTCCAGCTACGAAATCAACAACAAGAAGAGAAGAAAACACTTCCTTGGATAATTTGTTCTTCTCTTCAGCGTTGTTTTGTCTGTGGTGAGATTCTTCTGTACATAACCAATCCGACGGATGTGACGTCATGGGGCTTGAGTGGCGTTTGTTTTTGTTGTTCCTTTTGTCAGTGTCAGTCCCTTCGATCGTACCTCTTTGTTGTACATGGACAAGAGAGCTCGGTGTACAAACTACACAAGCCGTTGTTTACTGTGATGTGTTTGCAATTGGAGAGTGAGCGCTGCTCACAGCGTGTAGCACATTCCACCACAGACCTGAGACAAAAGAGAGAGAAAGAGAGTGAGTGGCCTTACGGCAGGATAACACAGGCATAGAACTGAACACCTCTTATTCTTTAAGCTTTTGCTGTTTTAGCATGTCAGTTGTTTTTGTGTGATCTATCTTGATAATAATGATAAAAATAATTGCTTTAATATGTAGAGCAGTAATGATGATAATAATAAGAAGTGTAAAAAAGCAACAACAACAAAACTGCAGAGAGAAAGTTGTAGAATATCTTCAGCAAGTATCAGCATAGTGTGTCGTCTCCCTACCGCTCACCCCCTACTACTGCCCTAGAGGAAACGACGAATAAGCAGATATTCTGTTACCCCCCCCCCTTTCCCCAAAAAG